AAAAAAAACCGGTACGAAATTATGCTATTGCCACGGCATGAATAGGAGAAGTCACTCGATATTATTCAACATAGGAGTTTCAACATAAACCTTATAAAGCATGCAGTCACCCGATAATTCATATCACACCCCGGAGCAAATTCCTTTTCCCGTGCACCGTTCAAAACATTTTTTTTTATTTTCATTCATTCATACACTCCAATCAGTCACAACTAATGAAGTGGTAAGAAGCAAATAAAGCGACTTCCAAACTATGCTTTTATTGGCTATTACACACTTGGAAGTACAGCCGTGTATCACAAAAACCTTGAGGAAAGTAGCCCCTGGTGCATAAACAGAATCAAGAGACGATTTCAAGGTTTGTGATGGGGTTTTCAAGCACTTCCCTTCCCTCCTCCCTATCATACTTGATGGAACAGCATCGCTTGGACGATCGATGCCGTAGCGATGAAGCCCTACTAAAAATAGTGCACACTAAAGAAAGCTACGCAGATGTTGAGGGTGCGGAGCAATTCACACTTCTTCAACATTGGGACAGCTTTATTGCTTGATTCACGCTGCAAAACTGTAGTTTGACGAAGATGACTAGTGCCTTCGATTTGCTTAATAACCCTTGAAAATCCCGTTCTCCTATGAAACAGAACTGAGCTCTCATAGAGATTAGAAAAAAAACTAGCAGCTATTCCACTAGGTTTACTCAAGTAAGGTCTAAATCTGTATGGAGACCCTTCGAAGGATGTCAGATCTTATCGAAATATTACGAAGAGTGCCCTCTTACGTTGTGCTCAGTTCGCACCACTTCGCTAAGATCTAGCACCTTTCTCATGGTACTTACTGACACGTACTGCATAGCAAACAATAATCCATACATTACCCAAAAAGCAAGCATCTCCAATACTTTTCATTAGCAACACTGAATAACGGCTTCATAAGCACTTAAGGATAGAAGAGCTTAAAAAATACTCGGATGATGGAGTGAGGAGGTAGAATCACCACCAAAACAAGCAATAACTCTAAAACGCTAGTTATCACCTACGGCTGCACCTTGAAGGAGGTGCTGACCAGCCAGCTGATACGCTCGATTTGCACTTCGAGAAAATTCACGAGGTCTCATCGAAAACATTTTCTGCAATTGCGGTTAAATTGCGCTACCGTAGTCAGAGAAGACGCTAAAAACATATTTTGCCAAACTGCAAGGTACAGGTATTTGTCCTTGACGCGGATTTTCTCTCAACGTCGGAGTGGGTACATGTTGGACCACTCATTGACCCTTCGAACCCGCGTCCAGGTGCAAATTTGTCAGATACTCTGATATTTTTAGCTTTAGATGTTCATGGAACACTTTTAGGAACAGTTGTCGTGTTTTCAAACTTGCAAATTTCGTACACCGCATAGAATTGTTTTGCCATTTGCATGCTGGCAATGCTTTGCTGTGTCATGTTTGTATTGAGCTGTTTTCTCAAATTTGCACAGCCACAGGACTGTGACTGCCCCTCCCCCGTTGAATGGTGGAGAAGTTGGACACATTACACAGTACACCTTTCCTGTCTAATCGTTGGTTCAGTTTGTCTGTTTTCCTTGTGGTCATGACTATGTTCAGAATGTCACAACTTCCTGAGGCCCTCTTCCGAGACTTCAAATTGATGCTTTCCTCAAACTAATTGTACAGTTAATTGGTACTAACTTCATCGACCTAGGGTCTACACTCTTTTCTTTGCGATCGCTTTAAAATTTTGAAGTTATACTTGACTAGGCTTTCCAGTTGCACTACCTGGCAGTAAATTATGTCACATCTTTTTGGCACAGGAGTCGTTGCTACAAAACGAGAGCATAAGTGTCTTTCTTCAATATTTAAGATGTGCAACACCCTTTTAATTCAGTCAGACAGGTGTCATGGTATCGCTCTTTGTGGTGGGGGTAGATCGTATAGAAGCGAATTCACTGGGGTCCTGAGGGCTCATTTGCCTCATCTACCGCCCCTTTTTATTCCGTGTGTGTCCTGTGCACTTTTGTGCTGCTTTTCTGCCAGTTTTTTATCAGACAGCTTTAAATTTATCTGTTTCTGTATAGACTCCTACGCTTTACTTTTGTGCGAAACATGAAAGCGTCGGCTACGATCTATCGTAATTACGCTAAATGTAAATTTTACGAACGGAGAAATTTAAATATTTTCAGAGTAGAACGTCAAACTCTACATCATGGGCTTTCTGTTCTCGAAGCTGATCAGAAACATTGTCATTGCCTATGTTATATTCAGTGTTGTGCAGTATTTGCTTCGATCGAAGTCGTACAGCATTTCACCCAAGGAATTCCGTAATATCGCTAACAAAGCACAAGGTAACCTGGTGCATTTTGTTTTTTGAATTTGGTCTGTTCCAGTTTATGATATATTTGTTACCTTTCGGTATAGTTTAGGTCCATGAAGGGTGACAGATTTTTTCGATAAGCAGCTTTTTCTTAAGGAAAAGCCCTAAAGATCGGTTGCACAGTGGATGCAGTAGTAGTTCAGATTTTTTCGGAGTTATATTGACTGTTTTAATTTGCAATTAGTTTCTTATAATCACCGACCCTCTTCAACATTCAACGTAATCCTTAGTTATCCAAACAGTTGGTGTAGTTTTTTGACAAAGGAGCCCTCCTCAGTCTTTGAGAACAATATCACTCATACCTTTACGAAATCTAGCCCTGCCTTTTAAACAATTAAAGTAAACAATTCAGGCGCTGAAAATGCTGCTTCTGCTGTGAGTCGTCTTTCAACCGATCTACGCCGCGCATATGGCCCAGTCATCGCCACCGAGACTTCTTGGGTGAGCGTCAAATTAGATTTCTGTTTTTCCTTACTCATTAATTTTTGCTAGAAATCTTCATGATGTTGTTTCTTGTATAGTTACCACTCAACTTGGGACACTTGCCGCTGAAAGTACTGTTTCTTCATGCATCGATCACCGAATTCATTGCTGTCATTGGAACACCGTTCCCAGTATCGGGACGGATTGGCAAGTTTTAAAAACTGATGTCTGAGCGTCAGTTCTCTTTAAATGGTATTCTTTCACAGGTATGCATTGGTCCAACTGCACTTGCACTGTGTTGACTGGAGGCATCGGCCGTGTTCCCGATCTGGGCCACATTCCTAAAAAAGAAAACTTCATTCCAGGTATGTTATGAAGTGTTTTGTACAGGCCGTATAGTATTTTTACCTCTCCAAAACCATTTTTAGGAATGCTATCTTTATGCAGTATTGCTAACTTCCAAATTCAGGTGAAAACTTCCGTCACGGGCAGTTTGAATCACATGTTTACAGTTTCGGTCCAGATTCATACGCCGTTTGTTATGGTGAGGCTTACTTCATAGTTTTTATTGCCATTTCACGAAGATGGTTGGTACCTTCCTGAAAAAACTGCATATCATTTTGTAGGCCGTGGTCTGATGCCGGTTTCCGGTCTATGGGCTGCCACTGGTGCCCTCTCACACGGTGAACCACTTTCGTTTGGTCGTTTGATGTACGCTTATGGTCATGAAGCTTTCAACCAGTTGAGTTTGGCGCTTACCAATACTTTCAAATACTACAAGTCGAAGGCCACTGGAAAAACGGAATTGTGAACGAACAATGGATTCTAGTAATTCATGTGTACCAATTGGTACTAGTTTAAATTACTTCATTTGGGCACCTCTTAATTTTGATTGTTCCTAATATTTTTTCATTGTGTTCCACCAATTCTCTTGCCGTTTCCGGTTACTAAACGTAAGTGATAACTTCCATTATGTGCATAATGTACCGCTAGTTTCCGTTGTGATCTTTCGAACAGCATTTTTTCTCGAAAGAATTTCGATGAATCTAGAAAAATCGCGCAACGAGTGATGTCCTTAATTGTGGGTGTGGAGTGACACTAACGCTTGTTCAGAGAGAACAAGCGTGGATCCCACCGTTCCCAGTAGATCTTTCGTTCGTTTTATCGCCCAGATTTATGCGACCTTTTGTTGTTGTAGTAGTTCGTTATAATAAAGGTTTTAATTTTTTTCTTCTTTCCTTCATTTCATAACCCCTAATAACTTTTATTAGACTCAAAAGTAGCCATCACAAAAACCTGTGCTGTAGTGTTTAATAACAGGTATCATGGCAAAGAAGATTTCAATTGTATACAATGGAAATGGAAGAGATTTCAGTACAATCCAAGTGAAACAACCATACATGGTACCGGTATGTCAAGACGGAAGCGGTTATGGCAAATGAATAACTGGGACCTGAATGAAATTGTCAGAATTTCAAATGCAAGGGAAGTGATTGTACAGCATAACTCTGCCTCTCCTATTTTCTTGAGATTCAGGGTCTCACCTGATGGAGTCGGACTTGTGAACAAAGAAATTCTATTCCTGACAAATATACCATGCCCCAATTTCAAGGCGTTTTTTAACATTCAACCTCCACGTTTTTCAAGCTACTGAAGGAGCAGTTTACCGTAGAAACGTATATTCTAATACTTCTCCACCAGCTACAAAACCCAATAGCTCATGTGGTCTGATCCTCCGCCGTTCAACCACTTCCTCTTCACATTTGAGCATTCATTCATTTGAAACGTGATGATACGACATACATAGTTAACGGTATACTAGTTTTGAGACTAGAATTGAAGAGGCGAACATTTCAGCAAATGTAGATCATAAATTAAATGCTATAAGCGAAATTGAAACCAGTAACAACCAATAAACATTGACCAGAGGTACTAATGGGATTTTCTAACGTCAGGGCAAGAACACGATATGTTTGCTTGAACAAAGCTTTCCCGTCTTACTCATTGTAAGATCTATAAGAAGAACAGCATATCACCTACTGTACATGCAATGCCTATCTATTTGAGCGCAAAGCACCTACTAAACCAATAATAATGACTAGCAATACATTAAAAGACGTATGCAAAGACAGCCTAGTAAACCATAAAGTTCTGTTTACACTTCCGTACCACTGCCCCGCTGAAGAATGTCATGTTTCATAAGAAACTTGAAAGCATCTTTAAAACCAGCTTGATAGTAACTCTCTAGAACCGCGCGAGAAGGAGGAAATAGTGCTTGTGCTCCTCGGACAATGTTTTGGAGATTGACCTAAATTGAAATCATTCGAAAAATGAGTTCATCTTAAGGAACAGCTCTTATGAAGACCAGAGGATGCGGATACAAACTAATCTTCCTGATTAACCGATCCTCTCAGTCGTTCAACTTTATCTATAGGAATGAGTAGTTATTGTTATACTATACTTACGTTCATGACCTGATTGCACACCGTCATCTTCCAATCGAAGAAATTCACATCATCTTCAGGTGAAATTTCAGCGTTACCAGAGAAAGGCGAAATTGTTATTGTTCGGATGTCTTCAAAATCTGGTAAATTGTTGGTATATCCACCGTCAATGCAAGCCTAAATTTGGAACAAAACATGCAAACTAACGGACCAATCCTAAAACAGCCACGAAATACTAAAAGAGGAATTAGGCACTGCTTTTGGGTGCGCAAAACAAAAAAAAAACTTCAAAAGATTCTTGATTAGCTTGGTTTGTAACGATTTGAGTGCAACATTCAACTAGGATGAGAACTGTGAGTCCACTATCCATTAAAATCCATAATTCTTTTCTTTAAACGTACAAGCTAACTTACTTGACCATCAATCACTGGCGCTTCAGCGCCGTAACCCATCGAATACATCGGTATATAACAACTCGCCATCAAACATTGTATCAAGTGATTTCTACTTGAATAATTGCAAATAAGTTTGTTCGTCCTTTCCTGTATACACAGTTCACTATGAAGGTTATTGAGGAATTCACTGAAATTGCATACCTTCCTCAAAGTGAGCGAGATATATAATCTTCCTTGCGCTGGCGAGATGTCATTTGGTATGAAATCCTCTACTATCTGGAAAGCCCACAGAATCACAATAAGTTGGAAAGTTACGATAGAATCCTAGCAATTCAACGTGGAGTCACAACCACTTTTGAAGGATCTTGCTGTTATATTTAAGTTGTGCCATGTGTAAAGTGGCTGCACTGCTCCTCATTATCGTAGTACTTTCTCATATCGCCTTCACAAAAAATGACCACCAACAGCGGAACAACTAACCTTTATCAATTTTTCATTCAAAAAATAGCCTGGTGTGAGGGCTCCGAAACGTAACCGATTAAGTTCATCTCCTAGACTATAAAGTATATCGAGCGCAGGTTCAATCCTAAATAGGAAGCAGTATTGGTTGAGAAAAGGACTAGTTATTTTCATGGATAGAACCAGAAAAAGCGTATACTCA